TGATGGCTACTTCCAGCAGGATAATGCAGTGATAATCCAGCATGTCATAAAATGCAAATCATCTCAGAATGGTTTCTTGAACATGACAATGAGTTCACTGTACCCAAATGGCCTCCACAGTCCCCAGAACTCAATCCAATAGAGCATCATGTTCATGTTATTTCATCTCCACCAAGACTACTTTTCTAATGGACACTTATGTTGGAGTCTGATGGATGCCTCTGTAGTGGGTAAATATGAATTATAATTCCTTTTATTTATTTTTAAGCAAACAATAGAAAAGGAAAATACATCTGCTTTTGTCCGCTATATAGCACTAGCGGATACAATTTATATAAATATACAAAAATTCCAATTTTTAATAATTTATTTTAAACCTTCATTACCATGAACATTTATTATTTATACCTGACTGAAAATATTTACACATCTACATGATTCCATGAGAAATGTATGGCCTTGTATGAATGCATTAAAAGTTCTGGCACATACAGTGATGAATGACCAAAGCAATGATGTATAGAGCGTAACACGTACAAACCCCAATGCTTATGTAAACCCAGGGTGTTGAAAATGTATACATGCATTAATGGTAATTTTCTTTCACTGTCCAGGATTCACTGTGTTTTATGGGTGTGCGGCAAGGTCACGCTTGCCCTTTCAAATGAAGTTCCCAATTCATTCATCAGCCATAGCGTGACCTATTCATCACCCACACCCAGGCATGTCATGCACATGTGGCTGTGGAAGAATTCAATTACTTCAAATAGGCAGCGTCTTACCTCATCTTGCCATTTCTGCGCTACTTATGAAGCTCTAATGAAATTGTTCAGTACAGTTCTTTTTGGAGTAGGTTTCCCTAAACATCAAATGCTTATGCAGCATAATGTAATCATCTCTCTGTACAGTCTAAAATGCTGAATAGTACGGCTTGCTGATTTATACATGTGTAGTTCAATACACTTGTCTGTTGAGCTTTGCAGACCAGTAAGCAGAATTGATGAAATGTTGGTGTAGATTGTGAGAAAGTGGTTTACTGCTGAGCTGGGATTCTGGGTATCTAAATGAGAGCCACGCACACATATTTTATGACCGCCTTTTTAAAGAGAGTATCTGAAGGAAGTTGTTTAAAAATGGAAGCAAACAACGAAAGTGTAGTGCTATGCTTTTAATGTTTAAAAACGAAAATTCTACACTTATTAATAATTGGAAATTTAGATTTTTTTAAATATATACTGTGGTTTGTAACTTCACTGGTGTTTTCAGTTTTTGATCTGCATTGTGGGACTTTTTTAAAGAATAAATAGTAAAATATGTACTTTCAGCTCATTACTTGTTTTTGTACAGTAGTTTTTATGAAAAAAAAAAACATATATTTTGTCAACCTTCAAAAAAATATTTAAAAGTCTTTAAAATTTAAACTTTTCTTTAAAATTATTAAACTTTTCTAGTTTAAATGTAGGTTAATTAATACAATGTGAAAACATAAATTTAGAGAAAACACACGTCACAAAATTTATCAAATTGCTGCCAATTGTTTGCAAATTATTTAATATGCTTACATTGTACACATATTGTGCAAGATTATAACCAGCAATTAAATTAAATATGCAGTATGTACACTGTAAAGAATCATATGATCAATCAGTCATGTCAGAATGCTTTTAGTTCATTGTAATTTGTTAATTTAAGTTAATCATGTTATAACCTAATTATATAAGTTATGCAAGCTGTTTTAAGTCAGTTAAACGTAATATAAGTTCAATGGACTCATAAGGTTAATTAATTCAGCTTAAAAATGTAAGGCAAACAGGATTTTTTACAGTGTAGGCTTGACTGGTGGTTGAACTAGGTACTGCAGTCCAAATTCAAAACATTTGAGAGGGTTTTTTCCCTCAGCTCCTCCCCTGAAGACTCCACGTAATTGCAGGTTGCCAGATTAGAGCAAGCATGCCTGACGATCGAGCTTTACAATGTAAGCTGCTCAGCTAATGTATATATTTGTAATATTTATAATATTTTGCTAATCAAAAACCACCGCATGTGGATTTTTATAAGTCTGAATCCGCATCTCATTCCAGAGGCTGCTGCTGTCCTCCAGAGGTCACATTTTCAGCCGTGTTTCAATATACTGAAACAGCATTTATGACTGAAATTAAATATGCTGTTTTAAGATAATCTAGGACGGCGAAATATAGTTGGGTAAAGCGGTAATGGGTGGAGTTACACAGAATAAAGCAAAGACAGACATTCTGACACAGAATGAACATTTCGAAGGAGACTAATAATTTTTACATTGTTTTTCAGATAAACATGTTCACTTAGCAGTTTCTTAAAGATCTGCAAACATATTACGGTTTTATTAGAAAAGGCTAAAACTTACACACAACACCTTTAATATGATGTTAAAAAAAACACAAAAATAAATAGTATCACAACAGACAAAAATAAAGTAGACTGCTGTGAAATAATAATGCTCAGTCTGGGGGAAATCAGGGGAAATTAGGGCAAGTGCCATTTTTTACACCACTTGAGTCACTGTTGGTTGCTGCTTTTACGCCTCGCTGCACTGTATCTTAATGGTTCAGAGTGTGAACATGTGCCATTTTGAATCGTCTTCGGTGCTTCAGTAATACCAAATGAATAGAATAATATCTTAATCGCTATAAGCTAACATTATAAAGACAAATTTATATTTTCACTTCAATATGAGCTCAAAGAATCAAAGAGAAAGAGAAGGTCATGGGTTTGATTCCCAAGATAAATCATAATAAAACAGGTCCCTTGAATAATATTTGAGTTGTTCCTACCATGTGCATAAAAGTTGTCGTGATATGTACAATTACTATACCGTGTATACATAAATTGTGTTCTGATACAGAAAGATTTATTTGCACAGTAAAACATCACAGGTGTCATCACCAGGAGAATGCTCAGAGCAGTCACATCTTGGCTTTTATGGAAAAATTCATCTGAGAATTTGAAAAGAAAGTTCAAATGCATGTTTGACACTGGCCTAATGAGAATCTAAAGATGTGACTCAGAGACTGGTCTTGATAAATGCCTTACATTAAGTAAAAGCAAGTGAGATTAATTTCTTGTCAAGTTAAAAGATAACCCCATTAGCATACTTTATTCAAGAACCTTTGATTTGATTGTATAACGTTTGGACTGTGATCAGAGGAGTACATGGATCTAATTTAAATAATATTACTAGTTGTAACAAATAAAAGTAAAATATATGGTAAGCAATTATGGTACCACTTTACAATAAGCTAACAGTTTGTAACAAGAATAACTTACTAAAGGCATTACTGTCATTACAATATTTATTAATCTTTAAAGTTCTCCTTATTGTTCATGCTCAGATCACACACACACACACACACACACACACACACATATATATATTTTTTTTTTTTCTTTCATTAATGTATTTAAAAATGTAGAAATTGATATTAACTAACTTTAATTGATTAGTATTAGTTATTATATTAGTTATTTGAATGTGACCTTATTGTAAGGTATAATGGGAGCTATAATGACTATGTTTACAAAAAAATGTCTTATTAATGATGATTAATATTAACAACAATAATAATGTTATAAAAAATTTGAATATTTAAAAAATATATGTATAATGCATTGTTACTTAATAAAGAAAAATATGTTTTATGTGTTGTATTTTTTTTAAATGAGCACCCATGACCACAAAACAAATAGTATTGCTCAGTTTTGACATTTATTCATCAAATGAAAGCTGAATCGAAAGCTGAAACTGAAAGCTGAAACTGAAAGCTGAATTCTATTGATGTATGATTATTTTTAGAATTAGACAATATTTTGAATAATTGAATAGAACTTTTTGAATGTGTGAGTTTAAAAAAAAATGATAAAATAATGAGTTTTTGGCAAAGAATATTATTTTTTAAAAATAGGATTTGATATATTTAAGAAATTTACTGAAATGTATTCTGGAAGATGATCTTTACATACAATTTTAATCATTTTGGCATGAAATAAAAATCAATCATTTTGACTCATCAATGTATTGTTGGGTTTTCCCACAAACAAATGCTACCTGTTCAATTTGATATTGGTTTTGTGGTCCAGGGTCTATTTTCAGTACAAATGAGATTAAAATATTTAACACTTTATCAGTTGTTAACCACACAATATACAGGCACCAAAAGGGCATATAATTTTTTTTTCTTAAAAACTCTAATTGTTTAGACTTATAAACTCAAGTAGGCAAAGCATGTGCGTTATTAATATCTGTATCAATGTTTGTATCACAAGCATACATGTGTACTCGAGGGCCACTCCCTGGACAAGTCTAAAGGGCAGAAGTATTTGCAGAACAAATATGTTGTTTAATTTACCCAAAAAGAGCATAAGAATGTCCCAAAGATGATAAAGTCAATGCTAAAATCTTGGCTGAGAGCTCACTGACCTTTCCCGTGCTCTGGGTTCAGAAAAGAAGAAGCACGGCTTTATCAGTAGTTAAATTAATGATCAATCCTTGAAAACTCCCTGACTCTGCAAGACTCCTCCTGGCTTAGCCTTTCTTCTCTCTTTATTCCTCATCTCAAATTCTTCCCCTCGCTCTATAACACACACACATACACACACACACACACACACACTCACACACGTATACACACACAATGATCTCTGCAATCGCACGGGCATCCCAAAAACTTGCACCTTCTTCGCCACAATCCACATTTCACTCACACCGTGAGCCAGAACGCAAACGTCTCGGTTTTGTCTGCAGCGCTAGCCAAGCCCAGACCAGAAGCTGGAAAAAGTTGAGCTGTTAAGCATCTTTCACCTCCCTCTCAGTGGCGTCTCAATCACTCTGCTGAGATTTTTGTTCAAGCACAGACAGAGGCTTTAACAGTGTGGCTGTCACAGATGAATATAATCAGCTATTGTGTCCGCGGCAGACAGACCGATCGTGTTGACAGATAAAGCCAGAGCTGTAAATCTGCTCTTACCTGCTGTTGAAGCTTAAAGCAGGGAGGAGGAACAGGAGGTAAACGGCTCCGATGAATTTCATTGCTTTGTCTTGCTCTCATGCACTCGGCGTTTCTCTTTCCCCCTTTTTCTCTCGATCGCTCGCTTTTCCCTTCTCCCTTTAGCTCCTGGTTGGCTCGCCACTCTCTCTTTCTCTCTCTCTCTCTCTCGCTCTCTCTTTCTGTGGTGCACACGCGCGTTAATGCAGGCACACACGCCGCGGCAGACAGATGCAACGCTGCGAGCGGTCTGTGTATGTGAAAGTGCGAGGCACTCCGGCTTCAAATAGCAGGGACAGGGAGACGGACGGATTTATTAATGGCCAGGAACCAGGGTGCAGGGGCGGGGGGGATCCGAGATCCGGAGAGGAAGACTGGAGAATGATTTGAGGTGGTGAGGTGATGTCAGCATCAATACAGCCAGTGGCTCACTGTCTTTCTCTTCTGCGTTTCACGGTGAGATGAATACCTGCTGGTGTGTCCCACATGATATCCATCTGTCTGCGTTATTACCCGCAGCCTTGGGATGGGGCAGGGCGATTATCTGGGCTCGAGGCGAGCAGGGTTACTCCACAAAGACTAAATTAATCAATTTCGGTGGAGATTACACTTTGATGGCAAGGTTCATTAGTTTGACATTTCCTTCTCTGTTGTCCGTCAAAGTAATTGATGAGACATTTCCCCGCTCACCGTCTCATATTGTGAGATTAAGAGGGTAAAGCGATGATGATGAATTTAATAGTCATGCAGTCGCTTTGCTTTACCTTTCTGCCATGTTGCATCCGATGTCTTCATTCACTTTCACAGATCTGGTCTTCAAAATCTAGAGAAGCAAAATGGTATAATAAAATGGTATAATGAAATCTCAATATGAAGATAATTTTTAAAACTTCCTGTCTTAAAAATTATTCTAACTCTACAACAACTACAAACTAATAAAAACTAATTAACCAAAATACCAAGAAAATTACCAAGTTTTCTGTAAATATTATACTACAATACACCACTGTTTACTGTGGAAAATTTTTTTAGGAATACTACAAGTTCACAAAAGTTAATACTACAGGATGATGTAGCTGTCAGGGTTGGTGAGGGAAAGGAGCAAGGACTCCAAAATAATTTTATTAATCTTAAAAATAACACAAAAACCGAACAAAAACTACCCAAAGGGGGAGAACATTGACTAAACAAACTTAACTGGGCTGCACTGGCAGGGAAGAGCAGGACAAGATAAGATGGGATCATCAGAAAAGAATGATGAGAACGAACTGGTACACTACAGCAAGCATGCAGGAGCTATAAAGAGAACACATCAAGAAATAAACAGGTGAACAGAATAAATTAATAATGGGATGAGAAGATGGGTGGGACTAGACAATAGACAGGTGAGCACGTGGCACAAAGAGACAAACACATGAGCCATGTGCTCCTATCAAACAGGACTAGAATACTAAGCAAGTGAGAAAACTCATTAATGCATGTTCACGTGAATCAGAAGGCTAAAGCACATGGCTGCATGTAAACATGAACACCAAGATGACAGAGTGAACGCGAACCAAGACTCCTCATAACTGCACACTCACTACAAATACAACAGACAAGACAAAGATAAGAGAAAACTCTGCCACCAAAACAAGAATAAACATGACTGAAGTGGCAGAGAGTGGAGCCAGGCCAGACCAGAAAAATTAATATGGGAGGGAAGAAAGAGCAAAGCCAGGGAGGTTTAGGAGGTTCAGGGACTCTGTCTAACAGAAAGGGCAGAGCTTCAGGAATATGAATCAGGGTGGGGAACCAGGGAGGGTCTTGAGAGACAGTATAGTGTGGCACCAATGGTTCAGGAACCCAGACAGAGGGCTAGGAAGGAGCAAGAGACCAGGGAACAACAAGTGAAACAGATCGGGGAGGGACTGGAGGGACAGACCAGACCCCAGGGCCAAGGTGAAGACAGTCCAAGGAAGAACAGGGACACACTAGGGAGGAACCGGAAGGGGTGATTTGAGGAGGATCGGACAGGACAGACAAGGTGGGGAGCTTGACAGGGGCAGTCAACGCTTAAGGCCCATGGAGAAACAGCAGGGCTGGAGGCTTGTGGAGTGGCGGCAGGGCAAATAGCTGGGCTGGAGCCGGCAGAACTAGGAGTCTGAGCATTACAAACAGGGCAAGGAGCCAGGCTGGGGCCTGGGCAGTGCAGGTATTGGGCCATGCTCTGGAGCTGGAGCCGACACTAGGGGGCAATCTGGAGCTGACACTGGTGGACGCTCTTGAAGTCAGCTCTTGAAGGTTTGGGCATGTACTAGGAGGTGGTGCTGGCTGTGAGAGGGGTCCATTCCCACTGCAAGATCTCGATTCAAAATGGCACATGTTCACACTCTGAACCATTAAGATACAGTGCAGTGCAGTGAGGCGTAAAAGCAGCAACCAACAGTGACTCAAGTGGTGTAAAAAATGGCACTTGCCCTAATTTCCCCTGATTTTCCCCCAGACATATTATGCCATCTCTCAATATTTCCATGCATGTATTTCACCCAGCCTCTCCCAATCGTTCATCCAGGCCTTCTAGAAAAAGAGTACTCTGCCCAAAGCCAAGACCCTTGTTTGCCACATGGAGACTCTGGGCATACACCATATAGGGGAGATTGTTCTGATGACACTGTTGCAGTCTCCAAAAAAAAAGGTTGGTCCTGGAGGTCCTTATTTTGGGAGATGGGTGGACCATTGTAGCTGTGGAGTCATCTGTTGGCCAGTTTGTTATATCAGGGTCTGTAAGGAATGATGAGCGAGCTCAAATGCAATAGCAATGCTGTAATACATAGTATCTGTTAATTGATTTTTGAATGCTACAGCATACTGTTGTATTAACTATTGCAAACTAATAAACAGCAATAAATACTGTAGTACTGTACACTACAATATGTCAGTTTACTTTAGCACTATAGTTTTAACAATAAATGTATAGTGCTTTTCTATGTGGGTATTAAAGCTCTAAATTATTTTATAATAAATGTAAATGGATAAATTGATAATAAATGCAATCTTCATTTACTAAAATACTCTGGTGACACACGCCATACTTTTACAATCAGTTTTATCAACTTAATCCCCAAAACCCTTGTTGAGCTGTGCTATGTAATATTGTTTCAGGATTCAAGCCTCTACTTGTTTATTTTAACAGACATCGATAAGAATTTTTATAAGATTTTAATAAGCTAAGCTTTTCAAATCATATGGTGTACACTACAGTCTCCAATATCTCATTTTTATGGCACGTATATTTCAACAATCCTTACAATATTTAGTCAAAGTTTGGTCATTTGAGATGTTTAATGAAGATAAAGTTTACCATCATGCTTTTTTCATGTCATTAAAGCTTGTTGTTTGTTTTTGCATCTCACAAAGAGTTTGGTCTCATAAATTATGAAGCATGACATCCGACTTAACAAGCAGATCAAAAAGTAGCTTGCATTCAGATCTTGCATCAAATCAGCCAACGATAAATACAACAAAGTCCAGCCTCATTTTTCTCTATTTCAATAATCCATTTCAATCAGATGTATGTAAGAATATCTTTCTAATTTTTATTAATTTTTTACTTATGTCTATCAGTTTACATAAATACTACATCCATACATTAAAAATGGCAGATTTATTAATTTTCCTTTGGCTTAGTATCTATTTCAATAGTCACCCACTGGAAAGAACTGCCAACTATTCCAGCACATGTTTTACACTGCAGATGCCCTTCCAGCCGCAACACAGTATTGGGAAACACCCATACACTCATGCACACACACACACACACACACACACACAGGCCCCGTTTACACAATACGCCGGAGTTCTCGAGCGTCGAAAACGGAGCGTTTTGAAAACGCTGGAAAGGCTGTTTTCATTCTAAAACGCTGCTGCTCTGTTTCAGTGTGGATGAGGAAAAACGGAGACATCTGAAAACGGAGGCGGGACTGCTGAGATTCGCTACCTGATTGGGGCTTTTGTGTAATTGCGTATCTTTCCCTTATTCGTCAAGTCCCTATCACATGACTATAACACATGGCTTTAACGCTACCGGAAGACAGTACTGTAAACCACAACAAGGGCACAGAAATGGGATCGTTGTTTGCACTATTGTCTGTTTAACGCCATTGTGCAGTTATTCATTTGTTACGTTTAGTAACAACTCGACCTCAACGTCTGTCCACAAAAATACCTCTCTTCCTTTCTTTGCCATCGCATTTAATGTACAACCGGTATTTGTTGACTAACAATAACCAAATGCCGAGTGAGACGCATGCTTTCTGTTTATACTAGAACGCACATGCCCAGAGTGCACGAATGGTCTCGTGATATACGTTTGTGGTGGTGTAGTGTGGACGGAGATATGTTCAGAGACGCTAGGTGAAACGCTAGTGTGGACGCAGATCGTTTTTGATCTAAAACGCCGTTTTAAAACTAAAACGCTCTAGTGTAAATGGGGCCACACTCATTCTACAGACAGTTTAGTTTATTCAATTTATCTATAGTGCATGTCTTTGGACTGTGGGGGAAACCAGAGCACCCGGAGGAAACCCATGCGAACAAGAGGAGAACATGCAACTTCACACAGAAATGCCATCTGGCTGAGCTAGGATTCGAACCAGCAACCTTCTTGCTGTAAGGCGACAGTGCTAACCACTGAGCCACTATGGTAAATTCATTTTCTACTCTAATAAAAACATGAGTATATATGTTAGCAATGTCATATTTTTTTTGTTTTTTGTTTTTTGGTCACAGATCGAAACATTTTTTATATTAGCCAAAAAGGGGAGAAGACGAATGTAATTTGCTTTTCATTTATTACAAAACAGTTCTAAGGGAAACTTTTGGTTTTAACAAACAGAACTTAAAACTTGTCATTTTATTACAAATAAAATGAAGAAATAATCAGCTGAATAAACATAAATTGTAAAATATTCAGTACTGTAAAAAAATTGTCTACAGTTACTACTACTGTTGTTGATAACGCCAAATGTAGACATCTAACATTATCATTTGTAAAACCCAGTACAACCATATTTATTTGTGGTCT